AAGACAGATTTGAATTTTCAGAAAACTGTTATGAATTTTAATAACTAATTGCAAAATTGACAATGTTATGAAATTTCCCAACCACGTTTGCAATTTTACAACTGATTTTGATGTGAAATTTCACAACTTTTTTAACAGTGTATAGTCCAAACTACAGTCTAACTAAAGAGCCTTCCACCCGGGAGGCGCGACTGAAAAAGAATTTTAATCCGAAAATGATTTTCTCTCGTTTCCTCTGAACTTAAATAATCGACTGAAATCTTATTCTACTCTTTGATTGGCAGAGTGCTGCTGGCATTCCCATGATGGTGTTCAACGTCATGGGTCACACGTTTAAGTGTGGACTGATGACTTCAATACGTCTTAGTGGTCAACAGTTTGAACACTTTGAAGTGTCGAAATACTTTTGACTATCTAAATATCTAGTGAAACCGAGGGGGCAATAACTCCCTTTTGAAGTTCACTCATGATTCCCAAAATACTTGATTCCCCAGTGGTTCCCGTCTGCTTTTATGTAATCCTTAGGTCTAGTGGTAGAAAATGCTTATTTCGACAAATTGGTACCAGTTCCACTAGTTTCCCACTTAGTTTAAGCGGGTTAAGGCGATTTCTGTCGATTCCGATTAAATTTTATGCTGATGATTCATAGACAGTTGTACTGTACCCACCCGGAGTACTTCGCCCCTCGAGTGGAACACTTAAAAGTGTGCAATGTAGCGCGAAGCACTTGCATGTGCAGCTGCTTATTGCGCATCAGTTTACTACCTACCTTGATATTGGTGGATTAATGTTGTGATTTACCTGTTTGCAGGGATGAGCTCTCATCCTCCTTGCGGTGGTCTGAAACGGACGGACGTGAACGATGACTATGTCAAGGAGCTCGCTGCATTCGCAATCTCAGAACTCAACCGAAAGTCGGTCGACGCAACGCAGCGTCGAATCATTCGGATCGTGAAGGCGCATCACCAAGTAGTGTCTGGCACCATGATGCACATGACACTAGAATTAGGTTTGATTAACGCACCTGATGGACAAAGCGAGATGTGTGCTGTCAAAGTGTGGGACCAACCGTGGCTCAACAGAAAGGAACTCTTCGAAGTGAAACTTGGAAGTGAATAAACTTCAATTTTTGTCTCGGGCTGAAAGGTTTGTATTTCTATGTTTCTTAATGGTATTTATCACACTGATACACTAACCGGATTTGTATCTCTTATTTGTATGAATCAGAGAAATCAAATTTACATACAGAACTTTATTTACTTGTACCATGTACATATTTGAATGGATACTTTTGTTTGTAAAGTAGGCGTCGTACAGACAGAAATACTTTACAATCAGAAATGAGAAGTTATAAGTTATTCTCTGATTTACAACGGAAAAAACTGCTTTGCTGCCAGTCTGCCAATTACTTGCTATTCGAATTATTTTATTTCTTGCTTTTGCAGGTTTCAGTGAGCCAATGGGCGCAGCACTTACTGCTGTTTTGCCGCGATGGAGGCTGGGCAAAGACTGCGACGAAGCCGAGGCATGTCAAAGTTCCTAATTTACTACATCGAATCAAATGAAAGACAACAATAAATTTGAATAAATTAGTGGCGTTTTGTGTTGTTATCTTAGCAGGTTTTGTGATTTGGAATGAAATTTTAGTTCAGCTTCCAGATTTACCTGCATTCCTTTAAGAAACTCTTTTTTTTTGCAACAATGTCTAAGGGCAGAGTAAGAAGAACAGAAACTAAATGGCATAAGCGGGGGTTTGCTAACATAATATAGCATCCGGTTCTAAAAGCTGCTGACGTGGGGGTGGGACTGCTTTGAACTGATCACGTTGAACTCTACTCCGACCTATTTTTCTCCGACCTCGTCGATTTGCTGAAATTTGGGAAGTATGTGCTTCAAAGAGGAACAGATTTCAGAGGCCATGATACTTTAAGACCAGCGAGGGAACACTCTGGGCGGGTGCTCTACCGACTGAGCCATAGAGGCTAGCTGTCGCTCCTTGGAACTGGTCATTCTATGCAGTCGCTGACGGCTAAAAAAGAGTCCAAGTGTGTAGGAAATGTTTTGTTCAACCAAGATGTACTAATTTGTGCGTTTTTAAGTGCGGGGGAGCAACATATCAAAAAATGGCGATAACTTTTGGAGGTTTATTTGGTGAGAGCAGTGATAGGCCAGTCGAGACCCAACCAGTATAGCGCCAATGCGCATTAAACGCAATACAATTAAGGGGCATTTTATTCGCATGATAAATTTTAAATTATTACCTTCAATTTAATGGCAATTTATTGCGCATTCAAGTGCATTACCCGCATTACTGTTATCGGGGAAGCTGTCGCACTGTCCCTGTCGCACACACCTCCATTGGAATGAACGCAGAATGCAGAAGCAGCAAAAATCTTCACGTAACGCTGCGGAGCGAAAGAAACTGCTCCACAGCGGCTTCGTCTAGTCAGCAGCGGGACAGTAGAAGGGAATACCTACTGGGCATGCGTCATCTTAAGAAAAACTGTGAGTCACGATAATGGCAATACGACCCCTGAAAACTAAAAGGTCGTACTTCAGAGGGTTTGCGTATAAGGTCTGATCTGGCTAGGGTCCCGGAGAATGGTCGTAAGTATATTTTTTTTTTATTTATCAGGAGGAGAAAATTCTCTTTCCAATAAAATACATCTCACGTCATCGTAAAAAAAAAATTACTTGTGGTCATTTTCTGGGACCCTAGCGAGATCCGTCCCTACCCTATACGCAAACCCTCTGAAGTACGACCTTTTAGTTTTAAGCAGAGCCCTGCCCTGCATCGAGGCAGCCTGGGATGCCTACATGGCGTCCGAAAGCGAATCGGAGTGACAGGGAGCTATGGCCCGGCGCGAGCTTCTCACTCCCACACCCGCTTTCGGGCACCATGTAGGCATCCGATGCTCGCTCGATGCAGGGCTCTGGTTTTCAGGGGTCGAATAGCAATTTTAAGGACGTGTACGCCGTCTGGCTGGGGTGGGGGTAGTATTCGCGCGTTCAGCAGACCGGCAGCCGGTCGTGTTCACACTATTTAAAACTGTCTGAAATTTTTTGTCAACAGCAATGGTCGTATCGTGTGACAGGGGGGGGGGGGGGCTTTACTGAGGTACCTGCACGAAATCATTGGAAGAGTCCGTTGTCATGCGGTGCCCTTTCTCCGGAATAAATAAGTCTATTGGGATTCGGGGTGACGACGGCCAATCAGCATGGTTGAAGCATTGAGTTTCACTGCGATATATTTGCCCGCCAGGTCAGCCTCTCCACGCTGCCCAACGAGGTGCTCCTACTCGTGCTGGAGTACCTGACCCCACAGGAGTTGCTGCTGGTGCGGGCCGTGTGCCGGCACTGGCGGGACCTGGCGCTGAGCGAGCCCCTGTGGCGCCGCCAGGAGATCGTGCTGGGGATGGGGAGACACTTCACCCCCTGCTGGCGTCTGATCCTGGCCAGCGCGCCGTGCGCCCGGAAGGTGTGGCTCAGCGGCCGCTGGGCGGCCCACCTCATTGACGTGGACGGCATGCAGTGCGCACTGCACACGCTGGACCTCAGGGACCTGGAAGAGCTGGGCTCGGAACACATTCGGAAGCTGGCCGAGCTGGTTGCCAAGCAGGCGGCCATCGGAGGACTGAGAGGGCTGAGGCTCGATCTGAGTCCACGCGACAGTGCAGAGGACTTCACGCCGCTGTACGAGGCCATCGGCCAGTGCGCGATTGAGAAGTAAGTATAACTTTTTTACATCTGTTCACAACATATTCCTTGTTAAACAGTCCTTTGCACTGCTGAACCCTTATGCTGTACCGAAATCAGTCCGATTTTGGACAGTCCTGGGACAGTCCAAGGCGACATCCTGGACCTTACCGAGAATACTACCGAAAATGTGTCAAATCAGCAAGTTTTCGGACTGTCCGAAGGCCGCGACCGGACGTCTATCGGACTGTCCGATGCCCGATGCCGCCGTGTCCAGACAAGTACAAATGGTCCAACGGGCTTAAAAAAAAAAGTTGGACAAGCGGGATTCGTTCCCTCACCTGTTGCCCATCGGCTCCCTTGACCGACGCTCTTACAAACTGAGCTACGCTGATGGCTGAGATGAGACGACACAGGAGAGCCTCTTTAGCTGGGCTCAGAATCCCTTCCGAGACGAGCGCTGTACACAACGAACGAATCAGCGCATCGTCCTGCGGTTTTCGGCAAATGCTTTTGCATCGCACGAAATATTCTGTTCAGGTCATGATGAACGACCTTTTTGAAAAACAAAATATGCCTGTTACGTTTACTCAAATTTAAACAGGGGTCCGTAACTCAACGCATGAGCGTTATGCGTTGGTTAAATAAATTAACGAGTAGCGCATTGGCGTTATGCGTTAGTTATATACACAGCAAACATTTTTCCGGGAACTTCCCGGTTGGATTCGGGAAGTACATTTTCCGGTTGATGCAAATGTTATAACATGCATAGATATGACGAAAAATAGCATTCGTAAAATTACTTCCCGGATTCAACCGGGAACTTCCCCGAAAAATATTTGCTGTGTAACGTATCGTTTAACAATTTGCAATAAAAGTTAAAGTTATGGGTCGTCAAAAATTATTCTGGTGCTGGGTGGAGCTAGTTTTGAGTTTAACTCTGAACGTTTCATTGTATGGTCACAAGTTCGGATAACGTACCGCTAAAGTTGAGTTTCATGTTAAGTTACGGGCCCCTGAATTTAAAGAGGCAAATTGCCAGCACAAAATAAAATAAAATTTTGCCCGATAATTTTCCTGGCGCTTTCAGTGCTCAGCAGAAAGTTGAATATGCGTAATTGGTGGACTTCACTAATTTTCATATTTTATGAAGATCGTTGTGTGAACATAGTTTGCCAATTTCCACAAAAAAATGTTCAAGTCTTTTGTGCTTAAACAGCTCGAAACCGTCCTGTGACGACCCGGGTTGATAGTCGGACTGTCTTCGGACGGTCTGGACCGGACTACCGGACTTATTAGGGACTGTCCGGTAGCATCGGACTTTTTACGGGTGCCGAGGGCTACTTTCGGACAGTCAGGGATCGGACTCGGATTGCTGACGGACTGTCCTGGAATTTAAATTTAAATCCTTACACACTAAGCTTCCGAAGCATTCGGTAACTTTGTAATACAGTGGATTTGTTTTGTACTTCAAAGCATTCGCAAGTGCTTTGTAATCTGCAGAGCAAAATGCTTTGCAACACAACCACTGTGAAAAATTGTCGTACCGGGTACACCCAGAAGACCGTTTAGTCCAGACGACCAAATTGGAAACCGACGAAATTTTAGCTCTGGAGACCAATTTTTTTTCGTGGCGATGATATAATTTAGTCTAGATGACTTAATTTGATTGCTGCGACTATATTTAGTTAAAAATGGGGTCACTAAATTTTAGTCGGTCTTAGGAACTAAAATTTTGTTTCTTACAACCCTTGATTTAGTTGTATCAAATAAATGGTTCTCTGGGTGTACAGGAAAATTTTCCATGGAAGAAGTCGTACAAGTATCGACTTGGAATCGAATATCGAGCGACAGTGGAAGGTTGTACATGTACGACTCGTATTGTAAATGGCAAATTACAAAATATATCGTACATGTACAAATATATTTTTTTACAGTGACAAAGCAATGCATTTTAACAGTGTGAGCAGTACAAACGATTGCTAACTTGAGGTATCCCACGTTTCCAGGATGACGGTGCGCATGTGGGATGATGGTCTTCCACGCTGTTCGCCGCAATCTTGGGTCCCACGCCGTCAGAACACCATCAGAAAGCTGAAATACAGCGGCGGTGCTCTGTGGCCAAACCCCTGGCTGCAGTCGCTGCTGCAGCACCACGCCGGCAGCCTGGAGAGGCTGCTGCTCTTCAACCCTTCGCCCGAGTTCCCGTGCTCGCTGCTGGCCTCCTGCGCCAACTTGCGGGTCCTCGAGTGTCCCCTCCTGCTGGACATGGACAGACTGCAGCAGTGCGCGCGCTTGGAAAAGCTGCACCTTGACATCCGGGTGAAGGGGGAGAACTTCTCCGCGCTGGTCCGGAGTGCCGCGTCCCTCTGCCGCGCGGCAGCGGGGCTCCGGGAGTTGAGTTTCTACGTCCACACCGAGACGGACGCCAAACCCGTCGTTGAGACGGCGGTGCGGGCGGTGAAGGACATTGTAGATGGCGCCGCGTCCTCGGGCCGGGCGGCGCTCACCAGCCTGACGGTGACTACAGGAAGAGACTGCCTGGGAGGGGCGTGGATAGGCGCGGTGCTGAGGGCGCTCTCGGGGCTGCCGTGCCTCGAGAACCTCGTGCTCAACACGAGCGACCTTCCGCCGGCGCGCGTGCTGCGCGAGATCTCGGCGACCTCGGCTCCGGCGCTGCGCTCGCTTCGCCTTCTATGGTTTCTGGAGAAGCACGAGGAGCACATGACGGAGGTGCGGGCGCTGCTGGCGAGACACCCGGCCCTGCACGTCACGGGGCTTATGTTGGCGGGCCGGGACCGTGGCGGCGTCTGGGACGAACTGGCCCGTGAGCTGCTGCTACCTCTGGACTGCCGCCTGAACCTGTACGCACATCGCCAGGACGAGCATTGCTCCCTACACGCCGTGACCACGCTCTCTGACTCATGGTTTCATATAGCAACGACGTGAAGCTTGTTTTGCAATAAGGCGAGCGCATTTCATATCTAAGTACTTTTTGTAATGTTTTACATGTGGATGCGGTCTATGCGGTTGAGTTGACTCGTTTTAGTCACTCCGCAAGACTTCCTTTTTTGGTAGGAAAAGTGTTTTGGTGCAAGCGTCATACGGATCCTGAACTATGGTGTATGATTCAATCCGTAAAGTGTAGACAAAAGCACTTTGTAAATAGGTGAAATAGCTTGTACCGTTTGTATTACGGTTGAAATTATCGCCACGTTAAGGATGAGTTTATTCGCATTGCATATGACTTTTGTGATCGGTATTAGGCTTGCACTAAATTCTTCGTAAGCGAGTCCGGAAAGGAGATGGAAGTGTAGTGTAGGCCCTACACCGCTGCGCTAGGTGGCAGGTGGATCAGTGTAGTTACCTCTTCGCAAACTGTGTCGTGGTGTGTATCTACTTTTTGTTAAATATATAGATTGGGATCAACTGCATCCGGCTTCAACACTTATTATCCATTAAAATGTATTAGCGTTTTACTGTAGAAGATATATTTTAAGATGTATCGTAATGTAAGGGTTACATAAGGCAAACCCAGAGTAAAACTGGTTTTGCTTTCTGCTATTAAAGTAAACAACTCGACGCGTCCGTCCAACAATATCCTATCTGTTTCGCTGCCCGAAAAGACTAGCCTATCTGTTTCGCTGCCCCGAAAGACTAGCCTATCTGTTTCGCTGCCCCGAAAGACTAGCCTATCTGTTTTTCGGCGCTCTCTGCAGCGCTGTTTTCTTTTCATTGTCGCTTCGCTAATTTTGACAATAAAAAAAAAGTAAAAATTCCTGCGTGTTCCTTAATGATCAAGGAACAAATGGCAATTTTTACTTTTTTTCTACTGTTAATATTAGCAAACCCACAATGAAAAGAAGACAGCGCTGCAGAGAGCGCCGAAAAACAGATAGGCTAGTCTTTCGGGGCAGCGCAACAGATAGGCTAGTCTTTCGGGGCAGCAAAACAGATAGGCTAGTCTTTTGGGGCAACGAAACAGATAGGATACTGTTGCACGGACGCGTCGAACTATACTTTGGTATAAATATGTGAGTTGTCAGGATTTGCCATTTGATTTTATTACAATACTGAAATCACAAATAAAGTGTAGCTTTAGCATGGAAACCTGAGTTGGAGTGCATTGGATGAAATCCTCCGTAGAAAAATCACACACTCAAAATTCTGAACGATGAGGAGAGACACATCAATACATTTTAAACACTGTTATTCAGGGAATGTGACGTCACATTCGTTTTAATGTGAAACATGTCACATTCGTTTGAATATTGTGTCACATTAATTTAAACGTGACTTCAGGTGAGGTGATGCTCTAATGGCGCCCAGGCTTGGCCGATTCACGTTTACACGAATATGACACAACATTCAAACGAACGTGACACGATTAACATTGAAACGAATGTGACGTAACATTCGTTGAAAAACAGTGAACGAGCTAATCAAGTAACTAGTTTGGGTGCTCTCACAATTCAGCCTTCAGTTAGCTTCATTTGGTCTTTACTTTGATTATGAATGATTTTGAGTGGGTATGCAGCGGAGCTAAAGTTAAGCCGAAGTTTTGTGAACCCTTCTTTTCCTTAGTCTTCACTTAGCTTCATTTGATATTCACTTTTAATACTTCAAAAAATAAGTGAAGACCCAAGTGAAGCTAGCTGAAGACTGCATGAAGAAAAAGATACAACTAAAACTGAGTTACAGGTAGTGTATTCTTTTTTAAAATAGACAGTGGCATTAACACCTCATAGACGTTTTTACACATTCGAAAAGTATATGTTTGTTCACGTCATGTACATTAGAGTAGTGCAGGCGTCACAAGTACTACCCCACTTTGATGAGCACATTGGTAAAGGAGAACCAGGCCCGCAATGCGTTTCCCGCACTACTCAGCGTGAGCGGACCCAATCCCTTGATCGAGAGGCACGCTGGTCTTCCCGCCTCCAGCAGAACGAGTTGAAGAACTTGACGCACTGGTACCGTTTCCGCACCCCTTACAGTCATGGCGGCCTAGAAAACAGAAGTTGCACTACAAGAAGTGACAAATAAAACACACGTGTCCATCCAACGACTCGTTTCGTTAATTTAGCATGAGGTTTTAGTTCGAGTTATTTCTTTAATATGAAGAGATTGCTCCGAACCAATGCAGCCCTATTTAATTTGAAGGAGCTTTCTTGTATCAAATACGTTTTTTTGAATTAAAAGATAAAATGCTATAATCCAAACATCTGAAATCCAAGAAAATTTACTTTCACTGATTATTATTGAATCAATGATATATTTCTTTGAAAGGGAAGAAGATTTTACTACTTTTTGGACCAACCCCTATTTCTTTGTTACCCCCTTTCACCCCCTTAGGGGTGGTTGCCAAGATTTGCACCAGGCTTTTCGTTGTCCAGAAGTGATCCGTAATTTGTAGAACTCTAGCTCATCTCCTTCCACTTATACGGACGACGGACGGACGGACACGAGAGCAGTTGCATAAGTCCACTTGAATGCTTTTTAGCCCGCCGTTCTGCTTTTAAAAGAGCATTAAAGCGGGCTTATGCAACCGCTCTCGTGTCCGTCTGTCTGTCGTCCGTGTAAGAGGAAGAAGATGAGCTAGAGGTCTACAAATCTCAGAGTATCTTAGGGGTCACTCCTGGACAACGAAACGCCTGGTGCAAATTCTGGCAACCACCTCTATGGGGGTGAAAGGGTGTAACAAAGAAATAGAGGTTGGTTCAAAAAGTAGGAAAAAAATATTTGTTTATGGTCTCCTAACGGGTAACTCATGAAAGTAGAGTCCCATGGGCGAAAATGTTTTAAGTTTGACTCTATCTTGCACCGTTTGGGCGCTAGAGTGCTTTTTTCGACGGAAATACGCCGAAAATGACCACGTTGCACATCAAGACGTTCGAGCTGTCCAATCGTAAAAAGTCAGAGAAAGTCTCCCCCCCCCCCCCAACAACATATTCTGAATCAAGAACTACCCTCGGATTTGCCGTATCTTTTTATGTTTCGGCCCTAGAGGTGGATACATTGAAAACAATGGCAAAAAGCGGCAAAAAGCAGAAGCGTGGGGTGTAGTCACGGTGTTGCCACAGTTGCCACGGTGTCACAGTCTTTTGTCATGCCCAAGGAGCATATTTCTAGGGCCGCAGACCCCCCACCGAACGCTGTAGTTTACTGAAATTTCCAAAGTGATTTACCGCCCATGGTAGAAACGACCCATTTGATTTTTGGGTCCGGTCCCAAAAATAAGGGGCCGGTCCCATATATATGGAACCGTTTATGGGTTCCGACCCCAAATTTAGGGGTCCCGCGTTGGGTCCGGCCTAATAGGTGACCGCGGTCACATTATTTATTTGATTATGCACTGCAGTAAATCGCGAGACCGAAATGGACCATCGCCGCCGGCAGGCCAAGCAGGCCCGGCCCAGCGCAGGCGCTATCCACGCCAAAAAGACGTAAAAATTTCGACCTGCGTTTTATTCGCGAAATATGTAGCCCTTGAGTAGCTGCACCAGGTGCTGCAGTCCGTTTAGTGATATCTCAAACAGTGTCGCGTCGGGAGCGTTGAGAACAAGGCCCTCCGCCCCACCACCAAGTGACCCTCGGGACGCCTTTCTGCCCGCGGCGCCGCGCGCGCCCGCCCTGCGCAAGAGCGACCTGTGCAGTGTCATAGTGCAAGGTGAGGGCTTTCCATCGCCGCTGCCCAATTTCATATATGTCAAATAATACAAGAGATAAAACGACATTTAGGAGACGGGAGACGGGGGACCCGCTATTTATCTTCTTTATTTGCTTCAAACGCTAAAGGGTGCCCCAAAAAATCTCGACGGTCCCACATCCGTGAACACATTACCTACGCGCACACAAAAATTGAAGTTGGGATCTCGATGGGATGACATAGAAAATTCACGAAAACTGTTTCGGTGCTCAGCAGCCTGTTTGAATCCGCGCGCCCATCAGCCGGCAGCCAATGGCGAGCCGACCCTGGCGACACAAGAGGCCTCAATCAGTTTTCGTGAATTTTCTATGTCATCCCATCGAGGTCCCAACTTAAATTTTTGTGTGTGCGTAGGTAATGTGTTCACGGATGTGGGACCGTCGAGATTTTTTGGGGCACCCTTTAGCGTTTGAAGCAAATAAAGAAGATAAATAGCGGGTCCCCCGTCTCCTAAATGTCGTTTTATCTCTTGTATTATTTGACATATATGAAATTGGGCAGTGGCGATGGAAAGCCCTCACCTTGTACTATGACGCTGCAGAGGTCGCTTTTCCGCAGGGCGGGCGCGCGCGGCGCCGCGGGCGGAAAGGCGTCCCGA